CCCCCCCCTTCAGCTTCGGACAGCAATAGAACCTGGGTTACCGAGCAGGAGGGCAATTCCTCAGCCCCCAAGAGGAATGATGGAAGACTGCACACAAGCAGGGGCTCTCTAGTCTACCTCCTCTACACACAGTGACATACATGAAATGCTGCCATTGGCAGAAGTGAGCCCAGATCACAAGTCAGCCTGGAGCCTCACCAGTGTCCGCCAAGAAGAATGGAGGCCCTACAGTTCTTCACGTCTTCCTTTTCCCCCACCAGCCCCAGGTCTAATGTTCCTTGACTAGGAATATCTTTCGTTCAATTCAGATCCACTCACGCAGGGTCCTAAGTGATCTCAGACACTTGGACCTTTCTCTCAGGGCCCCAGCACTTCACACTACAGCCCCCTGGCTGCGGAAGCATCACTGCTGGCCAGCCAGGAAAAGGGTCCTCACGCTCAATGTGGGCTCGACCTCACAGCAAAGAGACGAGGCAGCAGGGCCTGTGCTAAACAGCACTCCTACCCCATTCTTAGCTTCTCCTATTTGTAAGAAGACACCCAAGTGAATTGGACAGGACTCTCTGAAGACTGCTTTATGACAACCATCAGAGCCTTATTCAACTCTCCCAACTTCAAAACAGTTCTCCTTAATGCCTTTTACACCAACACTACTATCTCCCGAAAGCTTAGCAATTGCTCTTCTGCCCAGTTTTCAAAAATCGAAAAAGAACCACCACGCTTTCACGTACAGAGCCAACAGCCACCTCTGCTGCCTGATCCTCTGAAGCCTGACTGGCTCACATCAGTGTCCCCAGTTTTATTAAACGAGTCAATGCTTGACTCAACCCAATCCCATGCGAAGGCAGTTCCAAAAAACTACTGGTGCTGGGGTCAGGATTTCTGTTTAAAGGACATGGTTATTAGCCAAGGATTGTGGTGGTGGGGTATCTTCTACTATCAAATGGGAGATGCTTAAAGAGCATCACCTGCCCTCAGCCTGGCCCCCCATGCGCTTCCTTCCAAGTCAGCCCCACTGCGCTTAATGAAAACGTTAATTAAGTGGCACGATTAGTTGGCGTCACCACCATCGCGTGCACGCCATCAAAAACGAAAGCGGAGCTTTTATTCAAATAGGCGATAAGTCTTCCACTTAGCACAACATGGAAATGAAATGTGAGCAACGACATTAATTCAGCATTATGGCTGGTTTTACTCACAGGGAAGTCACAGAACTTAAAGTTATGGTTCCCACGGTCGCCATAACTGTCACGCGCCATATATACACACCGAGGAGGGGAACTGGTCACCATAACGGAGGGCAGAGAAGCTCCAAAGGCGCAGAAGAACCGGCTTACAGCTGCTGGGGGACGCATAACTCTGAACAGTCCCCTACAGTCTGCATAGAGCCTAAGGTATTATTCGCTGCATAAAAGCTACATTGTTTTCACCTTCTTTGTAAACCTAGCAACTACATCCATGAGTTTCCATTAAAAATAGCACATCTCATATTTTTCTCATCAGCAATGCCTGCTATCCTCCTATCATTAGACCGTTTTCTGGATGTTCTCAAAGCATAATCAAGTACTCTGGGGTTGGTTGTTTGTTTGTTTTTCATTTTTACTGAAATAAAATAATAACACAGTAAAATAGGCTTTTTTCACATGTGTATGGTGGTGTGACTTTGGACGCATGTATATACTTGTGTAACCACCACCTGTCATGACACAGAACAGCTGTGTCACCCCCCAAAACTCCTTCATGCTATCCCGCTGTGCTCAAAGTGCCACCCCTCACCCATGGCGACCACTCATCTGTTTTCACATATAGTTTCATCTTGTTCAGAACATCATACAGATTCATACAGGATACAAATAGTTGACACCAGCATCTTTTTACTCAGCACAATGCCTTGAAATCCATCCGAGTCGTTGTCTGTATAAAGAGTTCATCCCTTTTTTATTCCTGAGTTGTATTTCATCGTGTGGGTGTACCACAGTTTGTTTATCCATTAGGCCTTGGTTCTAACAATTTCAAACAACTTGGTTCCAAGGACATACACAGGAAAAGACAAGTACTGTATTCTGAATATCATCAATGCTAAAGAGTGTTCATGCGACAAACTGTCTCATTACATACAAACATTCAGAAATACAGCATTAAAATCTTGGCGTGAAAACTAGTATGAGGTTAGTCAGTTGTCTCTCACACAGCTCTCACCACTGCCTCCCAGAGACGTGGGTTTAATGATCGTGCATCCACATTGGCATCTATACTCTACCTTGCTAAATTGAAATTGATGGAAAGGTAATATATTTGACTCTTGAACAATGTGGGGGTTGGGGTGGTGACCCCCCTGAAGTTGAAAACCCACATATAATTTTTGACTCCCCCAAATTTAACTACACCAGTTGTCTCTCTGTATCCACAGGGGCGTGATTCCAGGACCCCTTGTGGATACCAAAATCCATGGATGCTCAAGTCTGCTACATAAAATGGCATGTAGCAATGCATACCTTTGGCCTGCCACATCCACGAGCTCCCAACTACACATCAAAAACAGTACAGACAGGGCCGGCCGAGTGGCGCGATGGTTAAGAACTGGCTTGGGACGCCAGAGGGCCCCGGTTCGGATTCCACATATGAGGGCCAGTGACACTGCCCTCCACAGCTAAGATGCTGAACAACAGCTCAGCCTGGAGCTGGGCTGCCGTGAGTCGCCGGCGATGGCGTAGGCTGCAGCCCCTGTGGCAGTGGGTTGCCATGGGCTACCGTGTGTAGCCAGCAGCCAGCGTGAGCGGCCAGCAGCCGCAGTGAGTGGCCGTCCAGAGACCGGCGACTGATCTGCCTTGCCCGGGAAGAGCGCAATGATGGTGCCAACTTGGGCCAGTGAAACAACGTCCTCCACAACTAGACTGAAGAACAAAAAACGACAGCAACTTGTCTGTTCCCATCCCCCCAATTCCCCAATAAAAATCTTTAAAAAAAACAGTACAGACATTTATTGAAAAAGCTTCTTGTATAAGTGGACCCCACTCAGTTCAAAACTATGTTGTTCAAGGGTCCCCGTACATGCTTTGTATTTTCTTGAGATTAGAATACCCTCTCTGCAAGAATGCAAATTTATGAAAATTCAGCAGGATGGGGGGTGGGGGGTGGGAAGGTATATTAGCATGAATGGGTTGATTATTTAAAAAAGAAAATCTCCTCTAGCCACCAAAGATTTTTAAGAGCAAGACACTGATGGGCATAAACAATATTTTCCTTTTGTGTACACTAACTGTGATCTTGTACAAATACAACCTCCCATGTGGCTGAAGGGCCTTACTGTGAAGTACACACAGGAAGCCAAATTAGAAACAATTTAAGCCATCACGGGCTGTTTACACTTCAGTGGAAAAAGACACAAACCCACATCCATGAAAAGCTAAATGAGAGTAAAATGTTGGCTGAGAAGAGCGCTTCTATAGTCTTTGAAAAATAGTCCATTAAAGTACATGAGTATAGCACACCATATATATATAATACACATTTACTTACTTAACTCACATCTAGGTTATTGAGAATATGAATACTTTGTGTCATACATACAAATACCTTCAGGGCAAAGGGAGCAACAAAATAAGCAAAGTGAATCAGACGCCTAAGACAGACCATCCAGCGATGCCCAGGCACAGCGACAGAATCAAAACAACCAAAACGGCAATTCAAGGTCAAGATTGGAAGGCTTGCTCAGGAAAATTCAGGTCTACCAGATAGATGGCTGAGTCTGCTCATATTCAATTTCTACAAAACGTTCCAGGAGGTTATTCACCATACAATCAAGGTGTACATATTCTGTTTCC